TGAGCAAGGTTATTAACCAAGTTCTTTGATCAACAATTTCCTACCTCAGTCCTCCAAATTAGGGTCAGCATTTATTTTTCAGAGGTTTTAAGCAAATGTCGAACAGTTTTAGGTTTTTTTTTATCTTTCCTAATTTGGAGGGCTGCTATCTTGCGTCTAACACTCTGAAAACAGCAATTAGTAAGTCAGCCATATAACTTGCCGTTATATGGCTGACTTACTAATTGCTGTGACTGTAAATTCTATTATGCATTAGATGGTGACACCAAGGCAAGCACTAGACATATCTAAAGTATTCAATGAAGTTTGGCATACTGGTTTTCTCCATTAGTTTGCTTTATTTTATGTATCTGGTAAATGAGATGTATTTTAAATTTTCATAGATGGCATGTCTCTTTTATAAAGCCTTTAGTTCAGCATATATACCAGCAGTATGAAACAATAGATTTACATATCATACCTGCAACTATAAGTAGTGATCATTCAGGTCATATTTTTAAGATATATATGGAAAAATACATAAATATAAATGCATTTTGTGTAAATAGTAAAATATATATAAATAATAAAATACTATAAATAAGAATATCTCATTTGTATAAAAATGTTTTTATTGATATGTTACCTTTATTTAACAAAAGCTAATTGAAGAAATAATTTGATTTAAAAAATAACGTTTTTATAAAAATGCAATATGTGATATACTTAAAATGAGTACTGCAAAGTAAACAGAAAATTATACGAGTTGTTGAAAATTTTTTAAATATTTAAATTTTATTTTAGGCAATTTGCTGAGGTAGCGCTCTTGATGTTGTCGCACAAAAGAGTCGCAGCTGAAAAGTTTCAGGTTTGAACTCTTATAAGGAAACTTTATTTTAATTTTAAAATTTTATTACAAAATAATAAAACTTTAAAACTAAGTAAACTTAATACTTTTAGCTATAATTTTTGTTTATTTATAGTGTTTATTAATAATTTTAACTTTTTAAAAGTTTCATAGAATAAGTTCATCAATGCACACATAAATTGACTGATATAAATGTAGTTGCAGAGAGTACATACAAAACTGAGGGTTTAGGTTTTGGCATGTATTCTTTAAATAAAAAGAAAAGTATTTTAACATTTATTTATAAAGTTTACGCTAGATTTTTAGGTGAAACAGTCAAAAGAAATAATAACTTATGTTTAAATAGGTGCATACAAATAAAACGAAATTAATTACACAGGCATACAAATTAGTTTACAAATAATTATAATTAAATAATTACAAATAATGTCTTCATAACTAAATAACATAGAATTATATAATTTATTCCTTTTTAAACTAAACCAAGACATAAATGTTTTCTTAAACTAAACTAAACAATTCTTTGCAAGAAAAAAACTAGAATGATAGATGAACATTTTAAACAACAGCTTCTATTGTGCATTAATAGAAAAATATTTTAAACCTGCCAGTTTATTAGAACAATAATATTTAAGCTGATAGATTTAATTGTTTTGTTTAACGATAATTTTAAAATTCCTTCTCATGTATGTTATCTTATTTAATCCCCAACTGTAGTGGCCCCCTCGGGCCTTGGAAAGATAAATAATTAAAAAAAAAAAAATCAGGCTTGGTTGGGAAGCGGGAGCAATCGCTCTCGATTGCTGACCATGTAAATATTTAGTTGCCAAAAGCTGGCTAGATTTTTTAGGCGCTTTGAGAACATTTTAAAAAGCAAAAAAAGAATACTCTAGAACTTTATTTCGCTTTTTTTCAGCGTATTTTTTGAACCAATAGAATTAGTTTGTTCATTAATTTGGCGGGTTTTTAGTGTTCGCGAATATTTTTTTTATTCTTGCGCACAAAGATGTTTTGAGAACATTCAAATTTTTTATGTTTCCATGTATGTCCGTAATACAAAAATATTTTGTTTCGCACATAAACTTAAATGTTCTTAAAACAACTAAACTATACTTTTACTCAAGTAATTTTGGTCTAACAGTACTTTATCCATTGCAAAGATATTTTATATTTAAGCTACTTTTCAACTGCATGAAAATTTCAATACAATAATAAACTCTCGCTATAAATAATAATCTCACAATATTAATAATAATCTCACAATAATAAATGCTCACTATTAAAATAAAATAATAATCTATTTCGATAATAATACAAGTAGTCTAAAGTAGTTTAAAAATAAACTAGACATGTAAAAGAAGTTTGTAAAAGTAAAAAATAATCATTTAATAAATCATTTAATGTAAGGTTTACAAATTGGATTTGTGTAGGCATGAATGCATGCCAACCTGTCATACAAATATATTGTATGTACACAAATATGTATGTATGTACACAAATATATTATGTATGTATGCACACCGTAGACGATGAAATTCTTCTCTCAAAGCTTAACTATTATGGTGTACATGACATATCCTTGTAGTGGTTTAAATCATACCTTTCTGATTGTCAACAGTTTGTAACTATAAATGGAACCAGCTCAGATATTAAAAATGTTTCAATTGGTATACCTCAGGGATCCATATTAGGTCCTCTTCTCTTTATTATCTATATTAATGATCTCAATCTTTCTATTAAACATTCAAAAACGTATCATTTTACTGATGATACTAATCTTCAATTAATAACAAACTCTCTCATAAAACTTAATAAATATATTAATCCGGATATGGCCGGTCTTGTTCAATAATTTAGAGCAAATAAAATCTCATTGAATACTAAAAAAATCATAAATAATTATATTTAAGACTCAAAATACTAACTTTTCTAAAAAAAACACCCTAAAATCAGGTCTCATCCTTAGGTTCAAGAATCTGTTCTTAAAATCACTCCATCATTTCTACCTAGAAGGTTACGCTTAACTTTACTTTTGAATTTTTTACTTTTTATCTTTTGACTTATTATAGTTTATTATTTTATTTTTAATATTTTATTTATAATAATTATTTTTATTATAACTTACTTATTTTATTATAATTCTTGTTTAAGTATATGTGCATATATAAATGTACATTATATTAATTGTATATATATATATATATATATATATATATATATATATATATATATATATATATTATATATATATATATATATATATATATATATATATATATATATATATATATATAATACATATATATTAAAAAAAACTGATTTTCTCGGTATAATTTAATAAATTTTTATGCAATTTTACTTTTATTAGTTATTATTATGTTTACTTATTTAACTTAACTTCCTTTTATAACCTACTTTTTTATGTGGTTTTACTTATTACATATTATTATTTTTGTTATTATTATTTTTTATTTTATTTAGGTCATTGCGCAATATATTTCGTGTTACATCTGTAACACGAAATATATTGTTATTGTTGTTTGTTTGTATGTGATATATTTTCTAATCTTTAATAATAAATCATTTATGATTAAAGATTAGAAAATATATCACATACATAATATATTTATATGACAGGTTGACTTGCATTCATGCCTACACAAATCCAGTTAGGTACGCGCATATCATGATTTACGGAACCGATTTTTGTGCTAAAATTTTGTGACTCGTTTTTTTCACTTCTTTTTAGGCAGCGTGGGGTAAACGTAGTTTTGTGGAGTTTCTTTTTAGAAACATGTATACACATAGATACTTTTTGGAAAGAAGAGAAGCTTATCTTTACTTTTTTAAAAACTTTTTTGTATGGTTACTAGACTTTTTAACAGATTGTTTTGCTCCTGAATATTTAGTTGATGTTTTCACATGAATTTGTAATCGAAGGCATGTCGTGTCCGCTTTTTTTGTTATTCAGGCAGTTTTTTACATGCATTTTCTATTTATGTGCCAAATTTTAACGAAAAATAATTGGGAGCAGATATGTTACAAGGTGCTTTATTAAATATACTGTTTTTTTTAGGTAGGGTTTTTTTTGTGGTGTTTCTTTTTAGAAACATATACAAACAAAAGTTAATTTGGAAAGAAGAAAGGTTAGGCTTGATTTTTATAGTACTTTTATGTATAATCAATAAACTTTTTTATAGTTAGTTTGCTGAAAACTTTCAAAAAAATTTCGTTGATGTTATCACATTAATTTGTTGTCAAAGGAATGTCGTGTCCGCTTTTTTTGTTATTCAGGCAATTTTTTACATGCATCTTTTTTGCACATGCCAAATTTCAGCAAAAAATAATTGGGAGCAGATAGTTTAAGAAGTGTAGGACTTTTGGTACCTAAATTCGGTTTTTTTTGTTTTTGTTTTATCGTTAAGAAAAATACGGGGGAGGATAGGGGGAAGCGGATTGTAAACAAAAAAATTACTACATTGTATTAATTTAAATTTTAATATTAGATTAAAATTCAAATAAAAATGGTAAAAGTTTTGGAAAAGAAAACTTCAAAAAGTAAGTTAATATGTTTTTCATAATAATAACTTTTTTAAAAAACAAAAAGTGATAAGTTTAAAAACTGTAATCTTTGTTTACATTGCATGTAAACAAAGATTAAGGTTTTTTAAACTATATATACCAATGATGGTAATATATACCAATGATGATATATTAAAAAAGATTAGGATTTAAGATTAAACAGTTACTTTGAAAAATTTTATTAACTAATAGTATCAGATACCAATGTTGTTAATACACCATATATGTAAAAATATACAAACAACATTATTATACATTGAAGTAAAATATTATTGGCTTAAGCCAATAACGTTTTTGACAAAATATATATATAATAATAAGCTTATTTTATGTAAAAATATCAAGATACTTTTACAATAATAAGTTTATTCTTATAAAAATATCTTGTTAGTGTTTTTCTAATATACAGTAATATAATTTTAAAATACAGTAATATAATTTGTTTTTTATTATTTTTTCATACCTTATTTTGTTATTAAAAATTGTTGTACGTAAAGCAGAACTGATTTAATAACTGTTATTTTTATTGACTGTTGACAATTTCAAGATGGTTTTTTTTTTTGATTATACAATTTTTTTGTTATCTTTAGTCCAATATGCACAGACTACAACTGGTAAGTTATTATAGCATAACTTTTATTAACCATTGAAGAAATATATATATATATATATATATATATATATATATATATATATATATAGATATATATATATATATATATATATATATGTATGTATGTATTTCCTACCTATTTAATTATTACTTGTCGTGTATGGATTTCCCACTTTTTAATTTTAGTATATACCTTTTGTGCTACACTTGGTAAGTTAAACAACTCATACTTTTTAATGTGCAAACTTTACAATATGTTTAACTTTAGTTTCTTAGTCATGTGCTGCAACTAGTAATTTAAAAAATTATTACATTTTATGTGTATGCATTCCTTGTTCTTTAAAATATTGATTTTTTGTTACAACTTTGTAATTCTAGTATTTACCTTTTTTCTTTTAACATGTGTATGCATTTCTTATCAATTGCATATTCTTTTTGAAATTGCATTTCTTATCAACTGATTTTTAATTAAAACCTTTTTTATATAATTATATCTTCAGCTGTCACGCCAAGTAAGTTTAAAAATTATTACTTTTTAGACTATGAATGCATTTATTACCATTTGCAATTTGTATTTTTTATTAAAACAAATTTTACTTTTAGTTCCATCTGTACCACCTTCAAACAGTAAATTTATGAATCTGGAATGTATCTGATTGATTATTGAGTTCCTCCTATTCCTATTTATATAATCTGTTTAATACTTTGTGTTTTGTTATATGAAGCTTATAGGTCATTTCGAACTTAAAATTAATATCACTTACTAAAAGCCAAGACATAGAGTAATTACTATGTTTCAAAACATTTTTATTTTTTATTAGGTTGGTGGGTTAAATATGATCATTTAAATGAGAAAATGTATACTAGTGCAATTTGTAATCTGGTAAGAAAAATATGTATTGTGCTTTCTCTTTTTTAATAATTGCATGTGAAAGTGTTGAAAATGTCATTTCTATGTGTTTTCTTTTTTATGTTGGTTGAGGGAAAGGGGGAAAACCATCCCTCTCCTCAAATTGTACATCACTAATGTATGTTCTATAGTAAAAAAATATTGCTTTATGCATTTTCAATACTAATGTATGTTGTATAGTTATAAAAGATTATTTTTTGTCAGGTGGGGGAGGGGGAGAGGTGGTGCATCAAATTTCTTTCTTTTCAATGTATCAATATACATCAATAATATGTTAAATAGTAATAAAAGAGTATTTTTAATTTTTAACAGTAGATTTCATTATTGTAATAAAGATAAAAATTTTATTTTTTAAGAGTCGGGGGGGGGGGGGGGGAAGGTGCGACATACACCCTCCCCTAAAGTTAGTGTTGTACATCACTAATAAATGTTTTATAGTAAACAAAAAATATTTTTATTTTTTAACAAAATATTTAATTACTGTAAAAAAGATTAAATTATTTATTATATTAGAAAGTATTATTATTGTATTTAGGGTGTTATAACATCACAACCACATCTATGATTAACTCTAAGGTCACGTTATTTTGTTTGGCAGTGTTTTGGAATCAAGTTATGGCAAAATTTTGTGTATAAAATATAATAATTACATTTAAAAAGTGCTTATTTCTGACAAAAATTTGTATTTTCTTTAGGGTTAGATAGTGTTTCATTACCCCCTCTGGCTCCCAAGATACACCCTATATCCAGGCACCAAAATTAACTTGTAGCCCATTAGTGCACCTATCTTGTGATACCAAGATATAAGTATTTGGATAAAAATTGACAAAGTTATAACAATTAAAGTGAAAAAAATAATTATTTTGACCACAGTTTCTTCAATAATTCCATATACCTAAAATTTGATACTAAAAATGTTATAACTTTTTTTAGAATTATTCGTTTTTAATAATTTTTTCACCTTTAAAATACTGTATTGAAGGCCTATCTAATGATATATAACATTCTACTATATGATCAATATAAAAATTTCAGTGCGCGTACCTAATCCAGTTTGTAAAACTTATAAAATAGTAACAAATATATAAAAATAATACAAAAATTATTGAGTTATATTTGAACTAACTATGAAACAAAATCATCTTGTGTAATGTTACATTTCTCAAATATAAAATGCACAACAATTTCATATATTATTAAATTTGAAATTAAAGACTACTTTAAATATTAAAGTTATGTGTAAAACAGTAATATTAAATATGCTAATATAATTTTATATAATGTACAAGAAACTTTAATTATGTAAATAATGAAAATTCTAGTGTTTGTTCAGCAGTAATATTAAAGATGCTAATATATTTCTCAAAACTTACCATCGTAATCTGTTTATAATATAATTTTTACTTTTAGCAACAATTCTGTGAAAAATCAATATAAAAAAATTGCAGCGTGGTCTGTAGTAGATTATTCCCAACTGGTCAAATTACGAAGCAAGATGAAACAACTCTTGACTTATTAAAGATTATTAATGCAACTTTAGCATAGAAAGTTTTGCCATAATATTCAGTTCTGTTAAAATCTTGTCTTCAAGTTGCGAGAGCGCTAGACTTAATAATTTCTTTTTTTCATAAACCCACTATATATATACCAAAAAGCTAAAATCTATTTTGCTTTTATATTGATTTTAGTTACAAGTCATAGTAAAACAATGGTAGAGAAGACTTTATGTTATTAAGATTGTAACCAATATATAACCAAAGAATATAAAGAAAGATGACGGGTAGACCATGTGTAAAAGAACAACCTGATACCTTCAACAATGAAACTAACAAACAAGTTTATAAGGTTTGTGAAAGGCGCGTGCCTAAAATATTAGCTAGACCTTGATCAAAAGAGAAATAATGCTAAAAAAATCAAAGCAACCATCAGTTAAAAATTTTAACCAAAATCATTGATGAATAAATAGAAAAAAAAAATTTACTAGATTTTTACAACAATTTAGATATTGAGTTTATTTTTATCATATAAGAGACAGAAGAAAAAAAAGATTTGGAGTTATCAAAGGAAACCATATGAAAAGGAAGAGTGAAGATAAATGTCTTGAAATTAAAATTATAGAAAAAGCAGTTCAAATTTTGTTAGAGAAATAGAAAAAAAAAAAGAAAATAACGTGAAGCTAATCTCCCTTTTTTTAAAAGATATTACTTTATTGTAGCTATTCCTTTTCTTTATAAATTAAATGATTTTCAAGATAAAGTTATAGAAATGTAAAACTTTGAAAAAATTTTGTCATAAAAAAGACTTTTTTAATTAGTTGTTGTTAAGTGTAAATAAATAAAAGCCTTTAATTAAAAAACATACATGATCAGTCATATATGTGGTTTTATTATATATGTGAGTGTCATTGCATGCTAATGTGAAAAATTTTTTTTAGATGCTAGTGTCACTGCAAGTCGATGTGAGTTTTTTCTGAAGACTATTTATAATTATTTCAACAATATGAGTCAGGGGGAAAAGGGTAGTTTTTTGGAAAAAGTCAGGAGGTAAAGATTGTTTTTCAAGAAAAAGAAAGTCAGGGAAGTTGTTTATATATTTGAGTTGAGTCAGGAAAATCTTTCATTTAGAATCTTGATAAACCCTGATGGTGTTTAACAAATACCAAAAATAACTTTGAAAAATTGTTTTTTTTTTTTTTTGTTTTGTTTTGTTTTGTTTTTTTAAACTCCAATACCTTTATGTAGAATTATTTTATCCATAAATATTGAAGAGAAGTCACAAGGTGTATTTTAAGCATAGAGATTATTCATTCTCCGGAATTCCCTTAATTTTTTTTTTTCATGCAGCATTCTTGACTGCCAACATGGAAATGACAGATATGATAGATTCATAGTAATTGGAATGACTCAGTAATCGGCGCTTTCCATTTTTTATCACAAATTTCATATTTATTTTCATCTAATAAGTGATAAAAAATTTTATGGGATAAAAAAAGAAAACCGATATTTACCATTTTTCAAAAAAATTATTATTGTCTGGTCTTTCTAGAAAAATTTAATAAGAAAATTATAATATTTCTTTAAAATATTTTTTAAAAATATATTTATTTCTGTTTTAGAAAAAATCAAAATACAATTTGTTATGATTAAATTATTTAATACAACTTTTGAAAAAAAAAAAGCCTATACATTTGCATTTGTATAATTCAACTCACCTCTGGTGAAATTTTAATAAATTTTTAAATGTTAAGCATGAATTTTTTCAACTAACAAGAAAACAAAAAAAGCAAGTCAACAACAACTAAAGGAGCAATTTGATTAGGTCAAAAATGTTTCAGTTTCATTATTGTCAAGTTACTTTTTAGTGCTTTATACAAAATGGGAAAGATGGGTGGGACAGGCTTGGTCGGGAAGCGGGAGCGATTGGTCTCGATTGCTGACCACGTAAATAATATTTAGTTGCAAAAAGTTGGCCAGATTTTTTAGCCGTTTTGAGAACAATTTTTTGAGAAGATTTTTTCAGTTTTGAGAAAAAAGCAAAAAAAAAGCGACAAAGATTAATTGGAACGATGAGAGACAATTACAAAAAAATATATATCGCTCTTTTACAATTTTTTTTATATAATTAAGCGATGTTTTTTATATAAATTAACAATTTACGATTGTTTAAAAGGGAAACAAATATTCTTTATTTAACTAAGTTTGCAAGTTTTAGTTTTACTTAAGCTAAATTATTTTATAAATAAAAAAATTAGTTTTTTTAATACCTATTTTATGTTTCGCGTAGTTTGAAAAGTTTAACTTATTTGAAGCGATTCTTCTTAGTAAGATAAACAAAAATAAAATTACTTTAAAATACTTAAAAATACTTAACGAAATAATTAACGAACAGGAAGCGAAACTGCTTCACAATATCGCTGATAATGTTTAGTGAGTGGGCTTTTTAATTTTAATTAGTATTTAAAGCAGAAAAAAGTGTAATGAGTTTTAAGAATGGCAACTTAAGCGAAAATAATTAGAGTTAGTAAACCAATATCTAGAAACTTTTCCTTATATCTAATTATTTGTTATATATATTTGTGTTCTGCCGTGACCTCAGGTGCGATGCTTGTTCATCCGCGAGTTACTTTGTATGCGTTGTTTGTGTTTAGTAACCAGAAACTTCTTATATGTTTGTTACATAATTAGTTTTATTAACTTTAACGATTATAACTTCATTGAAAACCAACTATTTTTGTAAGTCTTTGTTTAAATCATGAAAATTGCTTTAAAAGATACATTACAAAATTACATTTACATAAAGAATACAATCTCTTTTAAAATAAAAAGTAAGAATATACTAATAAAATCTATGATTTATAATAAACTTTTAAAATTTTAACTAATAGAACCAATAGAACCAATAGAATTAGTTTATCGTTAATTTGGCGGATTTTTAGCATTCTTTTTATTCTTTTGCACAAAGATGTTTTGAGAACATTCAAGTTTTTTATGTTTCCATGTATGTCCGTAAAACTTTTTGCTTCGTACATAAATCTAAATGTTTTCAAAACGACTGAAAAACCTGGCCAGTTTTACGCAACTATATATAATTTCCGTGGTCAGTATTCGAGAGCGATCGCTCCCGTTTCCCGACCGAGCCTGGTGGGATATTTCTCCAGATGTAATAAATGTAAGGACGGGGACAGGTCTTAATAAACAGGTGGTGGCCTGTTGTTTTAGTCATCCTGTTGTTGTAGTCATCCTGTTGTTGTAGTCATCCTGTTGTAATGACTACAACAATAGACTCTCTAAGGAGTGTCTAATTATCAATATATTTATACATATAGAGATGTGCTGAGTACCTGACTATCTGGTGGTCTGGTAAAACTGGGCTAATTTGGCTTATTTGTAATTTTCAGAAAAGTTTCTTGAATATTAGTAATTAAAATGTATTTGCTATTTCTAAACTATATTATCTTGTGCTTTTTTTTTAGGAAAAATCAAGAAGCTTGTGCTTTTTTTTTTCAACTCTAAATTAATTAATAATTTGTTTTTAAGGGAAATTTGTTAGAAGTCTTGTTTTTGTTTTTCTATCAAGTTTACGGTTATACTAGTCTTGTCTCTCAAAAATATTAGTATTTTTTTTTTATACTAAAGTACTAATAAAGAGCTTAGTGCTAAAAGTACTCAAGTCGCAAAATAAATGTTTTGAGGAAATATGCTTTGATCAGAAACACTTCAAAATAAGGATTTAAAATGACTGATCAAAATAGATTTTCTTAAACCATTTATTTTGTGATTTAAGTACTTTTAGGACTTGACTCTTCAAATATTTGTATTAGGAAAGAAGTTGTCCACAAAGTATGTACGCTTTTATTTTGAGTACCCTTCACCTTTCTAAAAGTACCTACGCTTTTAACCTACCTACCCAAGGTTTTATGATATTTTTGTTTAGTGTCTTACTTTTATAATTAACCACCTGCCCTCTATTTCATAGGCTCTTTCTTCCTTCGGTTTAATTAACAGTTTCAGAGATAATGACTGAAATGTTTAAAAAATACAGTAAAATCGTGTGCAAAAATTTACAGTTTTTATATTACTTTTATGAAAATTATCAAATTTTTTTTCCTAAAATACTTATATTATTATTATTATTATTATTATTATTATTATTAATTTTTTTATTACTATTACTATTATT